GAGAGAGAGAGAGAGAGAGAGAGAGAGAGATTGAGATTGATTAAGGCTGGAGTACAGGGGCTGGAGTGTGAGTGAGGACAGCGAAGGGGGACCAGAGGGAGTGGGAAGAAGAGGCAGACAGTCCAGGTTTTCAGATACCTCGGCCGCCTGCGCTCTTGGCCATTAATTCAGGATGACAAGAATCCATAATTAATTTAATTAGGCGTGGATTTTGCGTTGGTGTCACGGCTTACTTAAACACTAGGGAGCTGGACTTATTCCGCCGGGGCGTGGTCAAGAGGAAACTGACAAGTGCGCGACTCCTGGAGTCAATAGGGTATCCCGACTTGGCATCCGACCCTATGTCCTCGCCGGGCGTCAGGGTGCAGCGCAACTGCTCGGCCCCGCATTGCTGCCCGGCAACCCTGCCCTGCATCAGGCGCCCGGGACCCCAGTTCTGTATCCTGACCCGGTATCCCGATCCTACATCTCTACTACCCCGACCCGAAACCTTGTATCCTGGCTTCCTGGCTTCACAACCCTGCCGAGTCAGGGTCCTTTCCAGTTTCTCAGGCGAGCGCAGCTCCTTTCAGGGGCTTCCGGGCCCGCGGACAGAGCTGAGCCTGGGTCTTCACCAAGCTCCCTGCCCCGGGGAGTTTGTGATTCACCCCATTATTCGCGTCCTGGAGACCGAGCCGACTCCTCTACGGACAAACCCTGCTCGAAGTGGCTGGTTTGTTTAACACATTTCCCGAGCAGCTGTTCCCTGACAGATTCCATTTTAAAGTGTTTCCTTAGCGCTTGGTCAAGGACAGTTTGACTTCGTTCCGTCTTTGAGGTCTCAGGACCCTCACCCTTCTCCCTTACTCTTTGCACCCGGACCCCTCCCACAATGAACTACAGAAACTCTTCTTTAGCATCCGGGAAATATTCTAATTGATCTCCTAATTTTGAAAAGAAAATGATTATCCCTCTTTGAGTTTGAAAAAAAAATCGATGTTAAGTTTGTGGCCCATCTAATTTATGTACCGTGGATTATTAAAAAAAAACAAAAAAAACCTCGCCGGGAGAAAAGCACCCCCCCCAAGCTACGATTTAAAATATATTCCTGGACTATTTACATCGAAACTGTTATATGGAAGGACACATCTATATTCCCGCGTCATTTGTCCGTATTGTGCAGGACAAAGCTTGCTGTGAGAATTGTGGCCGTATATATACCCCTCACATAAGAATATTTACATATGAAAAAATATTTACATATGGAAAGTTATATTTACCTGAGTGTGTAAACAAATATACCTCTTCAAGTGTGGCTTTGGGGACATTTTTGAGTAGTCTGAATATTAATGCAGTCTTTCTGATGTTAAAGGTAACTTGTTCGTTTTCTTGGATCTTATACTCTTTGTAAAAATAAAAGCAATTATAGAACTTTGATTCCCATATCTTCCACCCATTGGTTAAGGCATTAACACAAAGTTAACAGATAATTTGAGAAGTTCCATCAAAGCAACTGAAACGTGTAAAAAGAGAACACAATTACAACTTAATACATTAATGTTTCTAGAATGTATGTAAATAGAAGCTATACGTAACTTTATGTCATACCACACTACTCAGATTAAAATATTCAGTTAGTGAACTTAATGAAGATGGAAATCACACTCTTTAGAATTGTTACTTTGCCTTTTTTCTCTTGAATTCTAAAGGTTTTTCTTCTTAAAACATTTATTTCATTTATTGCTACTTTTAGGAAAAACAATTAAGATCTTTAAGTTTCCAGTATCAATAGCTTTTAGGTATCAGTAAATTACACGACTGTTTGCTTTTTATTACACTACAAGAGACTCAAAGTACTCACTTTTCAAAGTTATATGAATTTAGAAACATGATTTTACAGTTAGTCTTGGGTTACTATTTGTGACCACTTTACTCCTGATATTATTAGAGGGGAATAACCATAAAACTTTAATCCTTTATGAAAATCCGTTTTTAAGGTTATTTAGCAGAATGACAAATAATGGGATCAGCTAAATGGATGTGGTGCTCAAATAGCTCTCAAACTGAGGTGTTAAATGTGTATTCACAAACAGCTCCAAAAACAGCCACTATTAAAAGTATGGTAAGGGATCAGGAGGCTCACCAGCTACTTTTTTTGCCCTTTCAAGCACATGACTTTTAAGTCTGAACTCAAAATCCATCTTCTAAGCTTGAGGGAAAGATGAACACTTTAAAGTTAATTAGGGAAGGCTTGGATACAATAGTTGTATAATTCACACGAAATAGATTTTCCCATAGATTTTTCTGGCTTGTTGCTCTTAGTATATTTACAAATAGTGGCGTTCCTATGAGATGGAGCTAAGAGAGATCTGTAGTGTCTAACCACGGATTCCTACTGGCCTAAGGGAAGTTTAGTTTAAAAAACCCCCACCAAACCCAGGTTTTGAAATCATATACTAATAAATGCTCACCAAGTTCTAATGATGTTTCTTTAAATAGCAAATATTTTCCGAGGACAAGACATTTCAAAATGCATTTCTGGTAAAAACAAACAAACGAACAAAAAAATTGAGAGTAAAGTTCAGTTGACAGCCTGCAGACAGATATACAGTTTCCAATAAAATTCAGGACCCCAAAGGTTCATTTCCACCGCCCACTCCCCCACCGGCTCTTGAATTATTTAAAATAAACATGTAGTGCTGTAGTCAAGCTTTAAAATGGTTCCTCAAAACAGGTTAGTTAAGGTACAGTCACTTATGAAAAATAAAATTGTGGAGGTGATTTTCTCCATCTCAAATGTCTGTGGAAAACTGTAGCTTGGGTATACAGCAGTTGTGAACGAGTTGGTTCTCACAGTCGACCCAAACCAAGGCCAACAATTTACCTCCTTATCGATGCTTACTTATAGTAAATAAGAAAAAAATGATGTTCATGCAAGGACATAAAGTCGTATGAGTTACAGAAAATGCTGAATTGCTTTCATTTGTATTGGTTTAAATAACAACAACAAAAACCCCTACACATTTAATTTATTTTCCAGAAGAAACCTCCTTTCCCTGCCTCGGGCAGTTTTCTCCCATTCCGCAACCAACCAGTTACTTTAACGTGAGAAAAAAATTTGCGCCCAACCTGTGCCTTCACCTTCAGGGCAGAAGAAACGCCGACTTTTAATGCATTTTTGCAAATAAATCATTACAATTTAATCACACACGACTCTGACGCTATACAGACACACTCCCATAATTTATTATTGTTGGGCCAGTTTCCTCCTCTCCCAGCGTGAGATAATCGATTTTGCTACGTGTGGTTGTCTATATAACTTCCTATAATGCAGATTGGTTTACTGATTATCTGTGACGATAACGACGGTTACTAAGGCAATAATACTTTTCAGTCCCCACCTTTATTGCTTTTTGGTAACAAGGAACTCAAATAATCAACCAAGCAAAACCAACACCAAACAAAAAATTGGCGGCGTGACAATCTACTCCCTCGGCACTCCTAACGCCTGGCAGCCTCCATCGATGCACTCGAAAGCTCGGCTGACGCTGCCTGGCGGTGAAACCAGGAAGGCGGTGAGCTTAAACTGAAATAAGTTCTGTGGACGCCGGCGGCGCCCAGATTTGAAGAAACGTTTCCAGATCTGCGGCGCTCGTAAGTCTACGGGAGGTGTAAGCCCGAAGGCCGGAATCCAGGTGATGCCCGCCTGCGGGGCCTGAGAGGCGGTGCCTGCAGCCGAGGGTTTCCGAGGCCCTACTCCGGCTTGAGGCGGCGCGGGCCTGGCGCAGTCTGTGTACGGGAGGCAGCAGCAGCGGCAGCTGCGGGGGGTGGTGGGTGGTGGGGGTGCTGGCCCGGTGGCGTGCCGAGCGGCGCAGTGCGCAGGCGCCTCGCACCTGGAGGAGTCTGACCTTTGAGGACCAAGCTGGGGCCTTAGGGGGGGTGGCAGCTATCGGGTGGTGCGTGGTCGCAGGCCTCAGGCTAGGCCCTGAGTCTCGAGGTGGTGAGGGAGAGTTAGCCACCTGTTCTCCGCCTCCGTTCCTCAACACCTCTCGCACCCCTACCCACACCGCCAGTCCCTGATCCTTGATAGCTGCTTTTGGGTTTCTGGGTTCTTCTTGTAAGGGGTGACCGGTGCTTCGTCACTAGCTATAGGTAGGGTGGAGCGTGAGGCAGGTTGCAACCTGGCGTACTCTGTCCAGCCCACTCCGTTGTCTCTACTTTAAATCCGCCTCCCCTTCCAACTCCGCCCTCCCTCCCCCGCCCCTCCCCCACCGCCACTTCCTCCTCCCCCTCCCTCACACTCGCGCGCTGAGAGGAGAGAGAGTGCTGGGTGAAATACACTTTCCTTCCTTAACAAATAAATATACTCGCCTTAAACGCTCATCTGTTTTCTTGACTTCAGGGCTTGTGGCCTTGTGGTCATAGCCCAAGAGCATATGGCTACCCTTAAACTGTTTCCTTTGGTGAGAGGTTATAATGCACTGTTATACATGTTGCCTGCTCTTGATTTTAGGTCATCCTTAATTTCTCTTTTAGAGGTTGTATATCTTTAAATGCACAGTGGAGGCCAATTTTTTTTTCTTTTTTGCATTTTCAGAATTAGCAGTAACTTATTTGTATTTCAACTAACTAGGTACTAGGTAGTTAAATAAATTAAAATGTCTCGTGTTGTCACAAAAAAGTATTCAAGTTGTCATCTTTGGACTTAACCATAAAAGCTCTAAGTGAAGGAGGTACACAGAGTTTTCAGGTTTAAGGATTGGAGCAGATATGACAGGTGCAACCCTGTGAGGAAACTGGGTATCCTTTGAGAGCCCCTTTAGCCCTAGGGTCTATAAATATTCACTTTATTTGCAGACACAGGAGATTTCCTGCTAAGTGATAGCACTTTATTACTGTATGTTCTTCAATAAGAGGGCTAAAAATGTTTGAAACTGAAAAAGATAAAGGCAGCTGGCACCTGTTCATTGGCCTTACCAACTTGACTAGTCTCAGCAGAGTTGTGTTATGAGTTGGAATACTTGTGTAATAAGATTGTTGTATTAGATGTATAGGTATATTTTCTGCCTTCATTTTCACACCAGTGGGAGGAAATTCGTATGACTGATAATGTTTTTTTAAAAAAGATGCTAGTCTGCATATTTTTAGTTGTGCTGGGAGGAGTGTTTTGATAATTCTGTATCTCTTGAGTTTTGCTTTATTTTGCTCATTAAGCTAGAATTTTACCTTAGTTCTTTTATTGCCTTGGGTGGTTCTCTGCTTGTTTGTGGATTTCTTCCTATGCTAAACGGTGTTAACCCCGTTTTTACTTTTCTCTACCTCTTTGAGGTGGAATTCCCATTGAAATGACTGTTCCTCCCCCCTCCCCTTTGGTCATGTGTCCAAGATCAAAAAGATGATAGTTTGATATACTGTGAATGAGTAGTGGTGAAATAATTATAAACTGTCATGTCCTTTAGGAATCTTTGTTCTCTCTTAACTGCCTGCTTTCTGAAAAAGATAACTGCTTATTCTACCTTTATTGATTACCAGACAAAGGAACTACTTGTGTATGCTTTTAAGCTCTCTTTTGACTGAACACATTTTGGCTCTACATCTTCAATCGGTCACCTAAACTTTACAGTAAGATGTTTTTGTAAATTGATGTCCTACTGTAGTCATTATGTCATGGCTTCAGTTCTATAATGGGAGTAGTTGGATATGGTTTGAAACCATGAGACTACAGCCAGGAAGTAATAGAGGCTAGAGTGAGAACAGAAAACTGAGAGCCTTAGGAGATGTGTCCTTGTGTTGCCTTTTCTGCTTACACATAGATTGAAAAATTGTTAAGTTCTGGGATTCCTAAAAATCTGTGCTCAATTCATCATTTCTCTTATCGGAAAGAGCTATTAATGGGTCTTTCCATGTGTTATACCTTACCAATGGAGTTAAATATAAACAGTTCTTCCTTACTAGGAGTGTGTGATATAAATTGACCACCATGACTTGAATGAGCAAATATATTCAATTATATGCTAGAGACATTATGGAAATCCAGAGGTAAGTATGAATCTAGGGAATTCAGTACTGTCATGGATAGAGAAGACAGTTTTTGGATCTACCTCTGATTTGTTCTTAGTGTTCACTTTCTTTTCTGAATAAATATTTGAAGTTAACTATAATAAAGAAATGCAGTGGCTTTTTGCTTTCTCTTATTGAGATTAATTATACTTCAGCATGATTTTTTGAAATGTAAATGTGTTACTTGAAAAAATATTTATAGATTTATGACAGTGATTTTTTAACTTTTTTCACCCAGTTGCTTTAAGGAAGGATTTTATATCTTCCATTAACTTTTATGAGTTAATGTAACCATTCTTCTAATATGGATGAATTATGTTATTTGAAATTAAAACATAGAAAAAATTTACACCCATCTCTCAATCTCTTTTTTGGTCACCAACAAGGTACATAATTAGATGTATGTCCTTTTCTTTTTTTCCTACTTCTTTATGCCTTCTATAGGGACTTAATAAGCTGGACAAAAGTGGAGAATGGAAATGACTGTGGGTACCTTAGAGTAGTGGGTCTCACAGTTTTTAATTTTAGGATCACTTTAGATTCTTAAAAGTTATTGAGAACCCTATGAACTTTAAAAAAAAATTATTTATTTGTTTATTTACTTTGGCTGCACCAGGTCTTAGTTGTGGCATGCGGGATCTTTAGTTGCGGCATGCATGCGAGCGAGATCTAGTTTTCTGAACAGGGATCCAACCTGGGCCCCCTGCATTGGGAGTGGGGAGTCTTATCCACTGGACCACCAGGGAAGTCCTGAGGACCCTACAAACTTTTATCTACATGGGCTATATCTAGAAATATTGCCTTACTAGTAATTAAGCCAGAAAAATTCGAAATATTTATTAATCTACTTAAAAATAACAATAATAAATCCATTACTTGGTAACATAACATATTTGATATGAAAAATAGCTATATTTTCCAAAACAAAACAAACTTAGTGAGAAAAGTGGCATTATTTTTCATTTTTGCAAATCTCTACTATCTGGCTTAATAGAAGACAGTTGGATTCTTATATCTGCTTCTGCATTCAGTCTATTGTGATGAGTTTTTTGAATGAAGTATATGAAGAAAATCTGGATTCACACAGATATGGTGTTGGAAAAAGTAGTATTTTAATAGCCTTTTCAGATAATTACTTCTTTAATACTACTCCAGAACTTGACAAGTAGTTTCTTAAAGGTTGGTTGCAATGTTTTATTTGAAACTATATCAATGACCTTTTCATGCTTACATTAAAATCTATTGGTCTGGGCTTCCCTGGTGGTGCAGTGGTTGAGAGTTCACCTGCCAATGCAGGGGACATGGGTTCATGCCCCGATCCCGGAAGATCCCACATGCCGCGGAGCGGCTGGGCCTGTGAGCCATGGCCGCTAAGCCTGCACGTCCGTCCGGAGCCTGTGCTCCGCAAAGGGAGAGGCCACAACAGTGAGAGGCCCGCGTACCGCAAAAAAAAAAAAAAAAAAAAACAAAAAATTCTATTGGTCTTTATGGCACTGTGAATGGATTTTTTACTCATATATGATTCTGTGACATCATGCATTGGTCTGTTGGAAAATACTGGTTCACTGAGTTATGCATATCTTCCAGATATTGACACCCTTCATTATATAATATTTAAAAAATTCCCATATGTTAATATCACCATTGATATCATCAGAGGAATCTTTAAGTGCTGAGAAGCTGTCAATCTCATGGTGACAAATACATGTTATCCAACATTTTGATTTTTGCTTGAGAGCTCAAATTTTATCATTGGCAACAAATTGACACTCCTTGAAGTGAAAGACTCCCTTAATTCATTTTTGAGAAAATGTCTGTCAAATACCAAGTCTGAATAATCATAGTCAGTTCTTTAAAATAAATAGTGTTTCAGGATAAAAGCAGCTAGTTCACCTTGTAATTCAGCTGCACAAATACTTTTCTCCAGGTAACCATTGTTCTTCAGAATGTAGCAGCAGTTATGTGTATTTCCTAATTCATCACACAGAATATTAAGATGTGTTCTCAAGGGTTGAAATTTAATAAAATTAATGACTTTTACTGCTTTATCAAGGACATTCCTAAGTGAAACTGCCTTTTTTTTTTTTTTAATAAACTGTGTGTTGCAGTGAAGAATTCAATGACTGCTAGTACCATTTGGCCCCATTGCCTTGATTCCCATTAAAGCACCAGCAATTTTGCCTACCATTGCTTCTACGTTATCAGTGCAAAAGTCAAAACAGTGAAAAAGGTAAATCATGTTTTAGTATTATAATAAAAATAGTTTTGACTTGTTGGATCCTCTGAGGTCTTAGGGACCCCCGGGGTCTAGAGAACCACTTTGAGAACTGCTGTTAAACTGGAATGTAAGCTCCTTGAGGGCAAGGATTTTTCTCTCTTGTTCATTTATGTATCCCTTGTACCTGGGCTTGCTGTCATCCTGGAACTTTTTAACCTATCTCAAGTGTTAGACCGCTTGTTTTCTGAATCTGGGTCATCTTTGTTCACTCTCTCCTTTTGGTAGAGCACATCCTTCAGTACCTTCCTAAAAAAGGGTGAGTGTGAGGTGTAATTTTGAGCCTTTGCATATCAGAAAATGTTCTAATATGGATGAATTATGTTATTTGAAATTAAAACATAGAAAAAATTATATTATTTTGATCTCGTATTAGATCTATGATTGGGCTGAATATAGATTGTAGTTTGAAAATAATTTTCACTTAGAATTTTGAAGGCAAGCCACCATGGTTTGCTGTGTTGCTGCTGAGAAGTCCTGTGCCTTTTATTGTGATTCCCCATTTTTTATCTTTAGAAGTTTAGGATCTGCTTTGTATTCCTCATTTCTAAAGTTTTATGAGGTATGTCTGGTATAAGTCTTTAAATTCATTGTCCCAGGGATTTAGGGCAATTCATATCTTTCAATTCTGGAAATTTTTAAAATTATTCTTTGGATGTTTTTCTTTATCTCTTTTCTATGCTTTGCTTCTTTCTGGAATGCATATCAATTGGATATTGGACTTCCTGGATTGATCCTCTTTTACCTTCTGTTTTTTATCTTTTTATTTTTTTACTTTTCATGAGTGCTTTGATAGTATCTTCTAAGCCTATTGAATTTCTTAGAAATTATCATTTGTTTAAATTTTAAGCTTTCTCTCCTGTTTATGGATGTTCCTCCTATTCTTGTTTGCTGGATCATCTTCTCATATATTTCTGAGGATATTAACTGATTTTTAAAAGAATTTCTGGCATGTTCCTGGTTTACTATGAGTTGCTTTTTTTTTTTTTTTTCTGTTTGGCTTCTGTCTCTCATGATGAAGTCTTTCATCACATGATTGATTTTCCTTTGTTGTATAATTACTAAAAAGTTAGCAAAAAAGTTTGTAGAAAGAAAGTTTACTGTGGGGAATTCCCTGGTGGTCCAGTGGTTAGGACTTCTTGCGCTCACTGCCAGGTGCCTGGGTTCAATCCCTAGTCGGGGAACTAAGATCCCACAAGCTGCATGGCGCGGCCAAAAAAAAAGAAAAAGTTTACTGTGTTCAAGGTTTGGGCTTGGTTATAATACTTGCATAATACTTGTATATCTTCTCCCAGGTACTGTTTAGTTTTTGGAGAAAAGAATCCTCTATCTGAATTCTTGGATCCAAGCACACACAAGGCTACAGTATTTACTGTTAGATTGTAGACTTTCACTTAATCCCTTTAACTTTTAGTTGAGCATCTCTCTGCCCTTTTTTACTGTGCCCCTGGACCTGGTGCTTCACTGTTTCATCATTTTTCCAAAATAAACCACCTCTTCTGCTGGGATTGGGGAATAGTAGTCACTTATCTGGGTTGGATGGCAGAGGGGACCTGGGAGATTACTTTTTTTTACAGGCTTTCAACCAATTCCCTTGTTTTTTAGTTCTGTGCCTCATTGTGCCTGCTGTGGTATCTGATGTCTCGAATTCCTGATCCTTTCTGATTTTTGCTATGTGAATTGGCTTTTCTCCTGTTGGAATTCTCTGCAGTTGCTTGATGTTCAGCTTTCTTAGCTCTAAATCCTGCATCTGTTTTTCATTTGCTAAAAATTTGTTGACATATCTTGTCTACTGTTCGTGTTGTTTTCTCCTCTGGTCTCTTTATCCTTGTGCATTTATGCTTTTTTATCTTTTACTCTAATTTTAGTATTTGTTAAACCAGATAATAAATAAAAACTCATCTTAATTTATATGGTTATTTGTGGGTAAAGAAAATTCTTAACTGTTTAAAGGTGAAACCAAGAAAGGAAGAAAGAGACAGGAAATGAGAACAGTTAGATGATCACTATTACTCAATTATGTACAAATTTCTTAATGAAAATACAGACACACAGAGATATGTGGTTACATATGGTATATAATAGATATATGGATATAAATATGTAAATGGATATTATATACACACATTTAAATATATATATGTATATATGTACATATATACTATATGTATATGTAGGATTTCCTAATCATAGTATTTTGAAAGCTGGAAAGGATCATGGTGATCTTATATGCAGTACAGTTTTGTTTTCAATGAGGAAACTGGCTTAGATATGCTAGTGATTTACTGAATATTTCAAAACCAAGTTTTCCCATTGTTTTGTTGAACTGTGAAATGTTAGAAATGTGAACAACTTTGAGGTTCAGAACTATATTTAAAGTCTAATTCTGGCTCCAGGTAAATAGCTTTAAGTCTTGAATTGAGTTATAATAGTGATTTTTCAACTTGTATTGCATTAGAGTTAGGGAAGGGATGGCTCACCTGGTTCTGAAAGCAAAGTTGTAATGTAATGTATTGCTTTCTTTAGAGTAATGATATTTAACTTAATTTGAGTAAATATTAAAGGAAAGTGTGAGATTTTTGTTTATCTGATCCATGAACTATTTATCCTATTATATAAGATGAATCTTGCTTTTATGTGACATTGAAAGGTAGCTAATACTTATTTTAGTAAAAAAATAAAATTGCGTATGAGAATCTAACTTAAAAGTAAGACAAGTAAGCTTCTTATAAGCTAAGTTACTGCCTAAATATAAAAACCTTATATTCTATTTCTGTAATTTTTTTCTTTTGTACACTAAATATACAAATATACCATAGCCATATAGAATATAATTAAAAAAGAGAAAATTTACCCAGTTTCCTCACTTAAATATCAGTTGTCTTCATTTTTGCTCTTACTTATTTATACATAGTTTCTTAAATTTAGTCTCTGTACATGCAGTTTTAAATAATGCTATAATGAATATCTTCATGAATATATCTTTTAAGAAAAACTTTCCAGATATATTCCTAGAAATAGGATTGCTTTGTCAGAAAAGTAGCAACATTTTTATGACTCTTTATTTAAATTGCTTAATTGCTTTCTGGAAGGATTATATCACCACTTTATATAGATATTAGTAGTGTAAAGAGTTGACTTCATTTTTGGTACTTTAGTTAAAAATACTGCATCACCTTTGGTACATTATTTAACATTTCCTCCCTCAAATTTTACAAGTGACGTGGTGAGGGTGTATTGATTCAGTTTTTTTTTTCTAAAAAAAATTATTTATTTATTTATGGCTGTGTTGGGTCTTTGTTTCTGTGCGAGGGCTTTCTCTAGTTGCGGCAGGCGGGGGCCACCCTTCATCGTGGTGCGCGGGCCTCTCACTATCGCGGCCTCTCTTGTTGCAGAGCACAGGCTCCAGACGCGCAGGCTCAGTAATTGTGGCTCACGGGCCCAGTTGCTCCACGGCATGTGGGATCCTCCCAGACCAGGGCCCGAACCCGTGTCCCCTGCATTGGCAGGCAGACTCTAAACCACTGCGCCACCAGGGAAGCCCCAGTTTGGTTTTTTAAAAAATTTATTTAACTTTTATTTATTTATCTTTGGCTGCGTTGGGTCTTCGTTGCTGTGCGTGGGCTTTCTATCGTTGCAGCAAGTGAGGGCTACTCTTTGTTGCGGTGCGCAGGCTTCTCATTGCGGTGGCTTCTGTTGTGGAGCATGGGCTCTAGGTGCGCAGACTTCAGTAGTTGTGGCATGTGGGCTCAGTAGTTGTGGCTCACGGGCTCTAGAGCGCAGGCTTAGTAGTTTTGGTGCACGGGCTTAGTTGCTCTGTCGCATGAGGGATCTTTCCAGACCAGGGCTCAAACCCGTGTCCCCTGCATTGGCAGGCAGATTCTTAACCACTGCACCACCAGGGAAGTCCCAGTTTGTACATTGTTGATGGTTAATGAGGTCTTTTTTTTTAAAAATATATTTATTTATTTGGTTGCGCCGGTCTTAGTTGTGGGAGGCAGGCTCCTTTGTTGTGGCAGGAGAACTCCTTAGTTGCGGCTCACGGGCTCCTTAGTTGTGGCTCGCTGGCTCCTTAGTTGTGGCATGCTGATTCTTAGTTGTGGCATTCTAATTCTTAGTTGCAGCATGCATGTGGGATCTAGTTCCTGGACCACGGGTTGAACGTGGGCCCCCTGAATTGGTAGCGTGGAGTCTTAACCACTGTGCCACCAGCGAAGTCCTCCAGTGAGGTCTTATCCATTTAAAATTTTAGAATTTTCAGTTAGAAAAATGTAACTCTAAAAGATAGTAAAATATCTTTTATCTTTGGGGAAATATGAGAATATAGGTAGTTGATCCCTAAACCAAATATCATATAATTAACAATAAATGCAACTTAAATTATGAGGAAATTGTTATAATGAACTGTCCTCAGGGCTGACTCTTTCTGGGAGACATTTGAAAAAATTTAGGACAAGTTTACATTGTTCATAAATTGTAAAAACAGTTAAATGATAGAGCTAAAAGACTGTACTAGAGCTGTTTCTCTTGTCTTGTTAAGAAGACTTGTACATTTAAAATTTTACTTTAAGTAAGACATTTAAATTTTTCTTTTTTTTGCGGTACGTGGTCCTCTCACTGTTGTGGCCTCTCCCGTTGCGGAACACAGGCTCCGGACGTGCAGGCTCAGTGGCCATGGCTCACAGGCCCAGCCGTTCCGTGGCATGTGGGATCTTCCCGGACCGGGGCACGAACCCGTGTCCCCTGTATCGGCAGGTGGACTCTCAACCACTGCGCCACTAGGGATGCCCTTAAATTTTTACATAGTTAAAAAAATTACTGTATTGAATTTCATCCATTGTGCCATTATGTTAGAAATAATTTTCTTTGAATTTAAACCTGTAGAAATGGGACGCCGGTCATCTGATACTGAAGAAGAAAGCAGAAGCAAGAGAAAAAAGAAACACCGTAGACGGTCTTCTTCAAGTAGTTCTTCAGATAGTAGAACATATAGCCGAAAGAAAGGTGGAAGGAAATCAAGGTCAAAGTCAAGATCTTGGTCCAGAGATCTTCAGCCTCGCTCACATTCTTATGATAGAAGGTGATTTTCATAATTTTACTTACGTAGTAGTGAGAGTAACATTCTTTAGAGTTCGTATGTTTCTGTGCTTTTAATTTTTCTGGGTAAAACACTTTTCTTTTTGTAGTTATATATTTATGAGTCTCAATCCCCAAAGGGTTTTGTTTTGTTTTGTTTTCCCCCAGGCCCAGCGCATGAGTCTTCATCCTTTGTGTATTCTTTGTAGACGGGAAGATACAAACTGGTATAGTTCTCATACCATATTAGTATCTGATAATATTTGGGAGGCAAGTAATATTTGATTATATTTTATTTCAGACGCAGGCATCGATCGAGCAGTAGCTCTTCTTATGGCTCTAGAAGAAAACGAAGTCGAAGTCGTTCAAGGGGTCGAGGGAAATCCTATAGAGTTCAGAGGTCTAGGTCAAAAAGCAGAACAAGAAGGTATGCCATATCAGATATTTATTGCTTTGTAACACACTATCCCCAAATTTAGTGACTTAAAGCAATAATCATTTTGTTTTTCATAATTTACAGTTTTGACTGAGCTTAGCTAGCAGTTCTTCTGCTAGTCTCATCTGGGGTCGCTTATGTGGTTCTAGTTATCTGATAGCTTGACTGAAACTGGATGGTCCAATGTGGTGTCATACAGTATCTGGCATTTGGTGCTGGCTATTGGCTGTTGGCTAGGGGGGGTTCCTTAGTTTCCCTGTGGCTTCTCATCCTCCAGTAGGAATGGCTGGGCTTTTTCACATGATAGAGGAAGTATTTCAAGAAGAACAGAAGTTGCAAAATCTCTTAAGGTCTAGCCTCAGAAATAACCCAGTGTGTTATGGAGTGAATGTTTGTGTCCCCCCTAAATTCATATGTTGAAGTCCCAAGCCCCAGTGAAATTGTATTTGGAGATAGTGTCTTTATGGAGCTAATTAAAGTTAAATAAGGTCAAAAGGGTGAGGTCCTAATCCAATAAGGCTAGTGGCCTTATAAGAAGAGAGAGAGAGATCTTTCTCTCTCTTTGAGCACGCACTCAGAGGAAAGGCCATGTGAGGACACATTGAAAAAGTTGCCATCTATAAACCAGGAAGAGAGCTCTTATCAGGAACCAGTCAGCTGGCATATTGATCTTTGACTTTACAACCTCTGTGAGAAATATGTTTCTGTTGTTTAAGCTGCCCAGTCTATGGTATTTTGTTATAGGAGCCTGAGCAGACGTGATGTCACTCCACCTGCATTTTCTGGCTGTGCTCAAGGTCGAATAATACAGAGCATAGCCTATCTGGAGAGAGTTGTATGTTTTGGATAATGCTAGAAAATATGGTTGAATCGGATGGAGACCATGGTATGGAGGGACTTGATAGAAGCAAGTATTCAGAAGTTATTGAAGGTTTTTGAGAAGAAGAGTGCTAGGATAAAAACAGCATTTTAGGAAGATCAGTTTCTTTTCTCTGTTTAGTTTTTCATTCTATTAGGCTCTAGTTGTGGGGGTATATTAGCAGCCTGATTTTATTATCTGGGCATAAAATTCTATAAATCTCTCTGAATCTGAAGTTGGATAATAGCAGTAAGTCCAAATGTTTAACTTTTCTGGCCTTGTATTATTTGGCCTCAGCCTCTTCTCCTTTGTACACACACAACATACACACAAGCCATTTTGTGTTACATGCCTTTTGTTTTCCATCTATGTCTCTGAGTTGCTAGCTTTGTTTCTTTGAGCATGCTCTTTCTTCCAGTTTCTTACATTATGTCTACTTTGAGAAGTTTTCCTACCCTTTAGTGTTCAGTTCTATTTAATCTCTAATTTTCTTCTTCCTTAAATCCTTTTTTGATTTTTACCTTTTCACTCCCAAGTCAAATTTAATCCATCCTTTCTCTGACCCACCATCACATTTGATTTCTGATTTGTAGCAGTTACATTGTGAATATTATGTTTTTGTTCTTCTCATATACTGTAAACTCTTGCAGGGCAATCTCTTGGTACCTAACATAATGCCTTGCTTGTAGAAGCTGATTACCAGAAAACAACTTCAGTTGAAAATTTCCTGTCAGTGAGAATAGAAATAATAATCCATGCTTTTGTATGGTCTTTTACATTTTGTAGAGTATTTTCATACACACTTTATCAGTCAATGACATTTTGATTAGGAAAATACAAGTCACTCAATTCCAAGCATCAAGGTTTTAAGATGGGGAATTAAAGGTTTATGTAACCTTTGGAGGGGCTCAGGGAATTAGGGAAGCTGTTACTGATTATTTTAGCCTAAGCATGGAAGCTGCTTCTTTGCTTGGAAGTCACTGTAAATCTTAAGAACTCTGGGTTTGTAGCACCAAAGTGTGTGGTTCTCAGGAAACTACTTACCAGGAAGCTGCTTCTCTACCCAAGTATCTACCTATTACTTCCTCCAGAGGGGAATCTGGAGACGTTAATTTCTTCTCTTTTCCAGTGCAAGGAAGACTTTAAAAGGAATCGCAGTGGACATCTAGTCAGCAACAAATTATCCAGCACACATGCATTTTACTAAATGTTTTGAGTTTTGTAACTGTCAGGCTGTCATGCAGGGTAATACCTTCATTTTGTATATGAGAAAGGAAGTTCAGAGGTTTATTCAAAACAGCAACTTCTCAGCCTCTTGCATCGACACTTCTGCATTTAACTGCAATAACTAAATAATCTGGAGACACTGCAAAGTCCTAAATTTTGAGAAAATACTTTATCCATGTTTTATACACAACATTATTTTGGTAATGTATTTTAGGAATTTATTCTTCAAGATGTTTAAACTAAATGAGTTTCTAGGTTAAACTTGGTTTAAGAAGAAAATTGAACAACTCATTCTTTGAACATTTTAGTTAATTAAGACTTTAATTTAAATAAAGAAGCTGTAAGTACATTAGTTCCTTAATATGTGCAGGGGATTGATTCCAGGACCTGCTGCAGGTATCAAAATCTGAGGATTCTCAGGTCCCATGGTTGGCCTTCCGTATCCACGGTTCCGCATCTACATATCCAACCAACTGTGGATCGTGTAGTATTGTAGTATTTTCTTTAAAGTTTTTATTTATTTATTTATTTTTGACTGTGTTGGGTCTTTGTTATTGTGCATGGTCTTTCTCTAGTTGCGGAGAGCGGAGGCTACTCTTCATGCAGTTCGTGGGTTTCTTTTTGCTGTGGCTTCTCTTGTTGCAGAGCATGGGCTCTAGGCGCATGGGCTTCAGTAGTTGTGGCTCGCATGCTCAGTAGTTGTCGCTTGCACGCTCTAGAGCGCAGGCTCAATACTTGTGGCGCATGGGCTTATTTGCTCCATGGCATGTGGGGTCTTCCCGGACCAGTGCTTGAACCAATGTCCCCTGCATTGGCAGGCGGATTCTTAACACTGCACCACCAGGGACGTCCCTATTTTTTAGTTTTTATTTTACATTGGAGTATACTTTTATTTATTTTATTTTTTTGTTTCTTAATTTTATTTTTGGCTGCATTGGGTCTTCATTGTTGAGAGCAGGCTTTCTCTAGTTGTGGCGAGCGGGGGATACTCTTCGTTGCTGTGCGTGAGCTTCTCATTGTGGTGGCTTTTGTTGCAGAGCATGGGCTCTAGGTGTGCGGGCTTCAGTAGTTGTGTCATGTGGGCTCAGTAGTTGTGGCTCACGGGCTGTAGAGTGCAGGCTCAGTAGTTGTAGTGCACGGGCTTAGTTGCTCCGTGGCATGTGGGATATTCCCGGACCAGGGCTCGAACCCGTGTCCCCTGCATTGGCAGGTGGATTCTTTTCTTTAAAATTTTATTTATTTATTTATGGCTGTGTTGGGTCTTTGTTTCTGTGCGAGGGCTTTCTCTAGTTGTGGCAAACGGGGGCCACTCTTCATCGTGGTGCGTGGGCTTCTCACTATCGCAGCCTCTCTTGTTGTGGAACACAGGCTCCAGACGCGCAGGCTCAGTAATTGTGGCTCATGGGCGTAGTTGCTCCGCGGCATGTGGGATCTTCCCAAACCAGGGCTTGAACCTGTGTCGTCTGCATTGGCAGGCAGATTCTCAACTACTGCGCCACCAGGGAAGCCCAGCAGGTAGATTCTTAACCAGTGCTCCACCAGGGAAGCCCTTGGAGTATAGTTGATGGACAACGTTGTGTTAGTTTCAGGTGTACAGCAAAGTGATTCAGTTATACGTATACATGTATCTATTCTTTCTCAAATTCTTTTCCCATTTAGGTTGTTATATAATATCGAGCAGAGTTTCCTGTGCTATACAGTAGGTCCTTGTTGGTTATCCATTTTAAATATAGCAGTGTGTACATGTCAATCCCAAACTTCCTAACTATCCCTTCCCCCCACCTTTTCCCTGGTAACCATAAGTTCAGTACTGCAGTATTTATTGAAAAAAAATCCACGTATAAATGGACCCTCACAGTTCAAACCCATGTTGTTCAAGGGTTAACTGTAGTGAGTTTTTCAAAGAAAAAGTACTATGTCATTCTAAATTTACAGGTACATTGTTAATGATCTCTGTGCTTTTTAATAGAAAAGAGTGATTTCAGTCATGCAAAGTCAGATACTTTCACAAAACTTTGTTGTTACATGTCTAAAAAACAAGATGAAGCATGTTTTGAGGGATGGCAGAAGGAGGGAAATCAAATGTGTGAAGTTGCTGCAAGTTCTGTGGATAAGTTATAGAGTAATTTGATGATTATGCTTTTTAGTATAGTTTCTATATTCTTCCTGAAGTACTCAAGTTGTGACATGTATCCTGTCACTTCCTTTTACAACAGTAAGAAACCTACTATTATTCACAGTATATTTACTTATTTCCTCAATTCTAGGATACACAGAAAGTAGTTACAAAATTGCTGATATGTACCACTTTGAAAAACAAACTTATAGAGTCAGATATTTTTTATGGTTCTTTTTATCTTTACTCTGGGGTATTTGGTTCCCCTCTCCACTTTATTATGGTTAGTTTCTTTGAAGGTTAGTTTCATTTGTTTCTGTTTATATTTCATTTTAAGTTTTTTTATCCCCTGAGTTTTTAAATTGTATTTACTTTTTGGTCCCCCTGCCTTTATTTTAGCATGTGAAACATTAACATGGTTCCAAAAGACAGCACTGTAAAAGGTGTGCATGGAGAGGTATTATGTCCCTTTATACCTTCTATCCTGTTCCTAACCACCTCCTAGAACTAATCCTATTAGTTTGTGTTTTAGCTTTCCTCCGTTTCTTTTTAAACAAAGTAGTGGTTATATCTATGCCATACTATAGATACTCTTTGCACTTTGCTTTTTCTATTTACTAATATATCTTGGAAATCACTATATCAATTAATAATACTCTTACTCATTTTTTATAGCTGCTTATTGTACTTCATTGTGTGAATGTATCATGATTTGTTTAGCCAGTTTCCTAGGTATGGATCTTAAAGACAGTGCCAAAATTTTACAGTTACTAAGAAGCTGTCATGAAT